CCCCAAAACCCCAAAACCCCAAAACCCCTTTTTAATTTTAAAAAATTGAGATTTTTTAATAAACTTGTAAAAATTTTCTTGAAATTTAGGAGGTTTAGTACTCTGGTACTGCTTTAAAGAGCTTTAGATGGACACTTCAGCAGTTGTATCGAAGTTGTCAGCTTCTTGGCTTTTGAACCTTTTTGGACTACAATTTGAGTCTGGTGGGGTTATGTTTTGGGAAGATTTTGAAAGAGATGAAGGAGGCTGAGAGGAGGGGAGAAGGCAGGGGTTTGGATGGAAAGGGGCATACGGTCTTTTCCGCTTCGTGGTAGGCTTGGAGGGCTTTGGAATATCGAACTTTTGAGGTTTGGTTTCTTCATTTTGAAGAGGAGAGGTTTTAGTAATTGCCTTACGCTTAGGACCTCTTTTGGAAAGAATCTTTTTGAGCCTGTAGAATAGGATATAAGCTTTCTCTGAGCTGGTCTGGTTCTGACCTCCAATTCTCCTAATTTTGGAGTCATCACATCTGTACCAAGTTTCATCAAATCCTTTAACGTATCAATTGTAATGTCCACGATGACTAAAATTGCCTTCATGATTAATTACAGCATAAAGCTCATACATATTTGCTACTTTACTTCTAGATCCCTTTCCTGTGGACTTGATGTAATCTCCTAGGTTAAAGCTATGTGGGTACTCTATCTTAGCTTTTATCTTAGCTCCGTTAACGTCAAACTTCTTGAGGTTAACAATCAAGTTTAAAGGAGGATCTTTCAAGGAAATTGATTTAATAGCATTTGTGTACTGCTTTCATTTTTCTCAATCATACTTATTTTCTCCTTCAAGCTTTTCCGATGAGAAGTAGTGCCTCATGCTGTCTTCAAAAGTCTCTCTGATGTCCTATAAGAATTGGGATTATCAAAAAATTTATATGAGAAAATCCCCAAAAAATACGGTTAATCATATTAAGAATTCGAGAATTTGCAATGCAATCTTATGAAGTCTTCTGCATAGAGTTGAGCTTACCAAGTTGATATCCTGGAACTTCTGTTCATTCTTATTGTTCCTTCTTCATTTCTGGCATTGGATATTACTCGTAAAGCTTCCTTCAAAGACTTTATTGATCTCAACTATTTTGGGTTTGCTGAATTTTCGTTGCTGTCTAATACAATCCATAGCCTTCTGATAACACCCTGATACTTCAAAGGTATGAAGGAGGATCATGAGGAACTCATGTGCATCATGTTGGCGACCGAACCTCACCTCTTCACCGAAAACTTTCTTTATTATATCTTTCATTCCAAGTGGGAGGAAATTATTTACCACTGTTTGCCATTCCTTGTATGATTTCCTTGATGCCTCATAATGAACAACAATAGGTAGGAATGTCATCGTCATAGGCAAAGTTGTTGAACTCAGGCTGCTTTGTATATTCACTAGAATATTCAGAATCTCCTTCTGATTCATTTTCTCCCTCAGAGTTGCCTTCCTCATCTTCTCCGATGGGGAGAGTCGTGATTAACTGGTGCATCTCAGGTGTATGGAGAATTCATTGTAGGACAGAGTTGGCGAAACAAGTATTTCCGATGTTAAACAAGCCAGTCGGCATCTTTACTGGTAAGCTAGAGCATGACTCCGTATTCATTTTATAATATTTAATTCTATAGTTTAAAATAGCTATGGGGTTTTGGGGTTTTGGGGTTTTGGGGTTTTGGGGTTTTGGGG